AGCATATACAAATAAGTATGACAAAAGTAAGTGCCATATTAACACGAAAAAGATCAGTTTACTGTTGCACATGGAACTAAAAAATTAGAATCTTTTTCATAATAATCATATTCTCTTATGTTATTCACTTATCAGGCTGTTAAGACTGCTTGGTTAAACCCCAGAATGTCCATGTTCATTATGCAAGAGAACTGTAGAGAATAAAAATTGTTTTATGGTCATGAGTAATGGGTATCAATGGTTGCATCCCCATGATGTTAACCATTGTTAACCAACTTGATCATTAACTGGCTTATTCCCTAAATGTGTAGGATAAGGCTGTTTCAGTAAAAGAAATGATCAGCTTTTTACCAGGAGTCCAACAGTTCAAGATTCATGTGAAAAAGGCTGCGCAAAAGACAAATGAGGGCTCATTAATTATGATCTTGTCATTTGGAAACAAGTAAATTACACTACATCCTTAAATCATTCAGCTAACCTTCGATATAAATAAGTTAACAAGTACAATCCATTTGTACTCATTTCTAAATCAGCTTCAGATTTGAATCCACAGCTGGTCTAGATTTGAATAATTCGAACTTCAAACCTAATCTGATTCATTTTGCAACGAGTGCAGTTTCAGATTAAGTGACATGGGTTAAAGCCTTAAGTACATAAATAGCAATTTTCCTATTACTAGGCATTTATACCTGCGATAATATAATTTTTTAGAAAAAGGTAAAGAAAGAAACAATTCTCAATCACAATGCAAGATTACAGAACATCTTCCTTGTGAAATTCAAGAACAACGTCTTTCATATAGTAGTGAACACATGTGAGTGACTTGCAGATAGCCAAGTGCATACCAACTTTTAAACAAAATGTCATCATACCAAAAGCACTAATCAAAAGTTCCATTTTCTATTATTGACATGCAACCTTTATATGCATTTTCTTTGTATCTCATATCCATGACTTCAATTGAGTAGCAAGATAACAGTTATGTTTGTCAATTTGTATGCATGAAAAATGGTGCAGATACTAATTTGCATAGAGCCAAGATGTATGGAAAGTAATATTGGGAGGCTTCGCCTACTATGGCCAATCTTTCATGTGTTATGCAGTGCATCTACAAACCCAACATCCATGCAGTCGATAATCTTAGCTATGCATAAACATCTGCCCCTATCATCCAGCAGCAAAATTCCATTTGGCACTGAAGTGTCTCATTGCGTTCTCTTTAACGAGACAACAAATTGATGATTCAGAAATGCTGCTTTTATTATAAATATGTTAAGATGTTTAGCTAAAGATTATGCAATGATTACCTTATATATGATGAGCACAACAAAGCTATGATGAAATTCATTCTTCAATGCTACAATCAAATTACAAGTTAGCCTTGTGCATTTCATGCTTATTAATCAGTTCACGTACTTTAGTTGAATTGTTGTTACTTGATAATGCCATGTATGTTAGTGTCAATATCTCAGAGAGGAGTAGTAGAGTTCGCTTCTCTAATATTCATTGTGTATGTTTCCTTTGATACTCTCTGCTAGATGAATTAGCATCTTGTTATCTTTGTGCTTTAGTCAATTTCATAGATAATGAAGACTACAGTTACTAATAATCATTTTGTTTCTAATATCATAATTTTCTGGTAGAAATAAACCATAGGTATTCTTTTATAATAGGTAGCTTGCACAGAGCTCAGAAGCAATCGTTTGTTCTTGAAGCTATTAGAAGCTGTTCTTAAAACTGGCAACCGCATGAATGATGGAACCTACCGTGGAGGTGCTCAAGCTTTCAAGCTTGACACGCTCTTAAAGTTGTCAGATGTTAAGGGTGCCGATGGGAAGACCACTCTGTTGCATTTTGTTGTTCAAGAGATCATTCGCTCTGAAGGTGTACGTGCTGTACGTTTGGCAAGACAAAGTGGAAACATGTCCTGCCTCACAAATTACAGTCTTAACTCTGATGATTTTGGTGAACATTCTCCTAGAGAATCTGGAGAAGATTACCATGACATTGGCCTTAAGGTTGTTTCTTGTCTGAGCAGTGAGCTTCAGAATGTCAAGAAGGCAGCAGGATTGGATGCTGATGCCATAACAAGTGCAGTGGCAAGCTTTGGGCACAGACTAATGGAGAATAAGGAGTTCCTGAACACTGACATGAAAAGTCTGGAAGAGAATAGTGGGTTTCACCATTCACTGCAGTGCTTCGTGGAGAATGCTGAGGTTGCCATAAATTTCTTGTTGGAAGAAGAACGAAGAATAAGATCCTTGGTGCAGAACACCACAGATTATTTTCAGGGGAATACAGGGAAAGAAGAAGGCTTGCGGTTATTTGTCATTGTGCGAGATTTTCTTGGCATGTTAGATAAGGCATGCAAAGAAATAAGGGAGTCACCAAATAAAGTTTCAAAGACACCAAAAGTTAAGGGCAGTCCAAGGGCAGCTCCTATTCCTGATCCTCGGCAGCTATTATTTCCTGCAATCGTGGATCAACGGGTGGATAGTTCCAGTTCGGATGAAGAGGGACCCTAAATTTTGGTTAGACGAGGTAACAATTGATCTCATACTGATGGAAAAGCTTTGAATTGAATTACGTTGGTAATAATAAACAGTTACTTGTACTGTTGATAGGAAACTACTTCAAAATATTAGTGCCATTTTTCCAATATGTAACAATCTATTAGGAAAAGCCTTCTACACATATAGACAATTATAAAACTTTTGTTTTGATACTGTAATGGTCATGAGAAAACCACACAGTACCAATAATCCAGTTACCTACACTGATTATTATAAAGTTACAAGGAACCTTAGTAACTTCCCAAGATTTTAATCTTAAGAAGATAATAGCTGTGTGTCAACAGGGCATACAATTAGAGATGGAATACTCATGTGATCTAACTAATACGACTTTGTAACCAATGTTTGCTTGAAGTATTGATTCTGTAAGTATTTTGGCATTTAGCGACAAAGTAATTCTTCAAAATCGATTACTAAGTCAAGACTATTCACAGATTTGGTATGATATCAAACTGCATTTTGTATTAAATATGAAAAGCTTCCCATTAAAACATCCTACATTTGTTTGATTGAGTAGCATGTATGGTTTGTTTCTCCACATTGAACAGGCAATTTACCATCATGTTGCAAAAACATGACTTCTATCTCAAGTTTGCTCAACCATCTGTCGAGAGAGTTGACAAACACAGTTTCCCTTGACCCCGTTGCTACATTTAGGGTACAGTTTTAAAATATAGTATTCATAACTCTTTTTTCTGTCTTTAGTTTATCATTATTGTTGACTATTAGTTTCCCTTAAACAGTTTGGTCAAACAAGAAGGTATAGTATCATTTGGCATTGATAAGTAAATGTCAGAAAAGTGCTAAATACCATATGATATGTCTGTAAAGTAAACGTATCACAAATCAACGACCAAGCCTGCAACCAACCTTTCATAGATAAACCCTAACTCAATGTTGCAATCTTGTTCGGCTGGTGGCTTCACAAATGTTCTGAACATGATCTAGATTGTTAATTCCTCTTGTTCATTACTCTGAGGTAAGTCCATATTATCTTCCGTGGGAGCTCAAATTGGATTGTGATCGATCTTCATCTCTGCCGTCCTCAACTATTGTGATCCCTTCAAGGTCCTCTCATTACTTCTCGCTTAATTTTTATGGAACCCCTTACCTTTTGCTTGTTCTCTGCTGTAGGTTAACCTCACACTTTTATCTCATCATTTTTCATGATATCACATTCATCTTAGTCTATTTTCCCAACATTTTCAACATAAATCTACCTTAAATTGCTGCATTTTGATTATGTAGGAATGCAGTAAAACCTCTCATTTTATTTGCCAAAACACTAAGCATAGGAGATCATTTCATCTTTCTCTCCTACAGAATGGAACACTGAATCACCTATGTTATCCATAATGCTGACTGGGGTCTCATCAAAGCTTTGTTATTCATAGTACAAAAATTTATGTGACAGATGTACCATGAGCTTAAAATGTTGCTGGTGCATTGAGCTTAATATATTGCTATTTTTACCTTTCAAGTTTTGCTTCTCCAGATCCCTCTTATATCCTATCAGAATTTTGAATTGTCTCTAGGATATTCCTGGCTTCAAGATTCCTCTAAGGAGTGTTTGTCATCTTGAGTTGCATCTTTATTCGGGTGGATCTGAAGTTTATCATGTACTCAGCAACTTGGGATTCCTAGGCATATGCTTCTGTAGTCATGCTATTTAGATTATACAAGACCAAGCAACTCATGAGATCATGGAGAAGAGCAGGAATCAAAGAAAGGTTTAAAGGACAACAAGCACTGGGCTAGATAAGTGGGGAGCAATCAAAGCACCATGACATGAAGGATATATATACAACTCAAAGCTGTGATGAAAAATTCTGGTCTAACCAGGAAAGGTATGGGAATATTTGTACTCTGTTTCTGTAAGATATGTTGGGCATATGAAGAAGACAAATAGGTAATTGTGGTCCTGGTTTTAGACTTCCCTGCAATGATAACCCTATTAGTTGGTGGTCTGCAAGGAAAAGTGCTGTAGTAAGCTACTCTTTGTTTGGGACACCAACACTAGCCACACATCTTTACTGTGTATCATCAATACTTTCTAAATAATTGTGCCTGTTTTCATCTGTGATTCAATGATCATGCATAATAATTCCCCAGGTATTGTCTTTCTGAGAAAAGCAATGTTGTCATCTATTTATCTGAGAAAGGGGACAAGTAGATGCACATCATTTGGTTGTTCAGATCATGCATAATAATCTTTGATTCCCCTTTATTTTCCCAGGTGCTATATTTCTAAGAAAAGGAATATTATAGTCTATTTTATTGAAGGTCATATATAATGCATGCTGTTACATATTGTCACAGTACTAATCCAATGAGATAATTAATTTATCATGCCTCTCATCATATCCAATACAATTCAATTCTAATATATATATATAGCAAAAGTCAATTTTGTCAGAGCTGTAGTTCTGCCAAAATTAGGGTGTCACAACAGTATCCAATTTCCCCAAACAATCAATCTTTACATCAAATAATCCTGTCCTTGAGAGACTACAGCTTGGCTAACACATCACAGCCAGTTCTGACATTGACTTGCTTGGTTGCATTGCAAAGCCAAGAACACAGGAGATGCAGCAAACAGTGGCAGAACACACAGAGAATGACTTCAAATCCCACTTTGTCATTACTTGATTTCAGCAACTTTAAGTGAGACAAATCTAAAGGTAGGCCAAAAAAATCACACATTGGGATCTAAAAGAGTTCACAACCTATGCACGCTAATCTCCAAAGAGGGGGAGGGGGGAAGGTCTGAGCTGTCAGTTGTCATCGTCTCCAGGTGCAGCCTTGGAGGAGCCAGAGCCGGCCTTCTTGGGGAGGAGGAGGTTGTGGATGTTGGGCATCACACCGCCGCTCGCAATGGTGACCTCCCCCAGTAGCTTGGACAGCTCCTCGTCGTTCCTCACCGCGAGCTGGATGTGCCTGGGGACGATCCTGGTCTTCTTGTTGTCCCTCGCCGCGTTCCCAGCGAGCTCCAAAACCTATCCACGTCAACACATAAAGGTTCATCGGATCCAAAACTTAGATGAGAGTCCGAAGAACCGTCCCAAGATCGATTCTTGATGCGAACAGGAGACCCCGAACCATCCCAAAATCCGAAATCTCATACAGATGGAAGAAGCAGAAACCTAAATTTAGTCTAAAGGGGCAGAAATCGCGGGTTTCGTTCACGAATCAAGAAAATCCCCAAAATCGAAGGAGAGGGCCATCGGGATGGAAGAAAAAGAGCGGAGGAAAGGAGGGGAAAAGGACCGTACCTCGGCGGCGAGGTACTCGAGGACGGCTGCGAGGTAGACGGGGGCGCCAGCGCCGACGCGCTCAGCGTACTTGCCGGCCTTGAGGAAGCGGGCGATCCTACCGACAGGGAACTGAAGCCCCGCCTTGCTGCTCCTCGACACGGACTTCTTCGCTGCGGCGGAGCCGATCGCCTTCCCTCTTCCCGCCATGGCGACGACACCGCTACTCCGGTTTGGGAATCGGACGGCGAGAAGAACTCCGGCTACGGCCTCGGCGTTCGATACCGCTCTCGCAGTTATAGAGTTAAGAGGCCGTCTTCGCTTCGTTTTTATAACGTCGAGAGAGGAGGGGATCTGACCAATGAGATGGGAGCACACGGATCGCCGTTCTCAGCCATCGGATGGACTGACTTTGACGGCTGGATCCTCCGACATTCGTACAGGTGATTTGGACATGTCATCCTAAATCTAATGATTCCAATCCCTCTCGGAAAAGGCAACATTACAATAACGCGTACGACACAACCTCTGTTCATTAAGACGTAACGGATTGTTGATACCGGTCACCGATATGACAAACCGTTATGATGATTTGTTTTTTGGGTTGCCTGTTTTAGTGTTGTCAACCTAAAAAATATGACGATTTTAAATCTTAATTTTCACTTCTTAATTTTAGGCACCAATTTAGCATTGAGGAACATGATATGATACGATTATGATGAATCAAAAATATAAAAAGAATAAAAATTATGGTTACGATCAATTTTGATTGTTGACGAAATTGATCCGAGTTGGTTCGTAATTTTATTATCATTGCATCTGAAAAAAAAAATTTAATTTATTAAGCAATAATTTTCTTTAAGAGGATAAAATGTATGTATCATATATATCATTTTCAGTTTATTCTTATAAAATATTGTATCAAAGGTGAATCTATCCGACGATCAAGTCTATTTCGATTTATTAGGAGAAAATAAGTTCGATAAGAAATTGAGTGTTCAAATAAATTTAATAAATTTAAAATAAAATTATGCTTGAAAAAAATGTTTTATGTAATAAATTAGTTTATGTAATGATCATCAAAATACTAAAGCTATATGAGGAAATATTTTCTTTTATAAGTCATGATGATATGGCATGTTCATTGGCACTTTATTTGCATGCCTAATCGATGCTATTGGTAAATCTTGAACTAATTGACCTTTGATTATTAAGTATTTATTATTTAAAAATAATATCATATCTAAGGTTTACATTGTTAACGTGTATCATTCTGTACAGAGTCGTATGTATTAGTTTAAGAGGATAATGGTATACATATCACTCTCTATCAGTACTGATGTCTTAACCTCATATAGAGTGATAGAATGTTGGTAGCAAGTAATAACGATAAAAATTCAATCGTTATTGATTTGTACCGAACGATAAAGTTGAAATCCGATCATTACTGATATGTGTCGGTTCATAACAATCAAATTTTAACTGTTATAAATCAAGGACTAAGATTATTTGATTTCGAATGATCAATTTGAACTACGACTGAGATTATCCTATTTTAAATGATCAATTTAAATCAAAACTAAAATTGCCCTAGAATTAGGTATATCCATCGATTGATTATTTGATATATTTGAATCTTAAGGTTTAAGTTGTATAAAAAATAATATAATAATTTTAAATATTTTTTAATAGATAATTTAATATTAACGGAAAGATAATTCGGTACATGCCACAAAGTTACTCCTCGAAATTTAAAAAAGATACGTGGTATTATTTTTTCCTAATTTATATTATTTTTATTAAAATTATACTAAATTTATATTTATTTCTAACTTAAAAAAAAGTTTATTCTAATTTTTTATTTTTAAAATATTTTTGAAGAGTTTTTGACTCATTTTACACGTATCGTTGATAAGCGTCGGTATATATCATACCGAGCTTTGCTAAGTAGATCAATACAAACCAAAATTATAAACCTTGATCTAGTCATTTGCTCCTCTGTTTTGGGGGTAAAGGTTTCTCTATTCCATTGTTAAGTCGTGTTTCATTTGTTATTGTTATAACGGGATGCATTAGCTACATGGATCCAAGTTATATCATTTTTTATGTGCGAGTGATACTAAGTTATTTCTCACTAGAATGCGTCACTAAACATGTTTTTCTTTGTCTTGATCAAACATATTGCAATGCTTTGGTCACTAAACATCCACTTATATGTGAAACGAATACATCACGTAAGAGAAGATGTCATCCATTTATGGAGCATAAGATGCTTTAATGCTTATGTTCTAAGCCAATGTCATTGCTCATATCTTAGACGGACAAATAAAGATGTCTAGGTTTTGTTGAATGCTTTAGATGTTTGTCTTGGGTGAACACAATCACGTATAAATATAAATAGATTCTTTAATTACATTGAGAGCCTTCATACTTATGTCATAGTCGAATACATCATGCACGAGAGAGACTTTCGACCCATTATTTTGTGCAACAATTCACTAATCAACAATTCGTTAGATAAATACAAGTTTTCCAAATGACCTTTTATTCGATGCTTAATGTCGATGTTTTTTTGAAAGTTGCCAATGAGGAAAGACTTCCCCTAACCTATTGAGGAGCTAAATGCCGGAGGCCAAGAATGTATATACATATATACATACATATGTATATGTATACACATATACACACATATATATATATATATACACGTATATACATATCTCAAGACTTGCATGTCCCCTCATCAGATGATTCAAGACTAGAACTTCTAACAAACAATAACCTCAGTCCTAAGGAGAGAAGAGACCAAACCAAACATGCACATGAATTGGTTGGCATACAAGCTAACATACGACCATCGATCCATGCGATACTTCTTCAATCCTACTTTTAGCACTGTCTACATTCCTAGCATCAAACCGGTTTTCGGGGACAGAGAAAGTACAATTACCAATAATCCCAGATGAACAACTTCCACGTCTGAAATAGTGAAATCAACTTGCATTCTTTGCGACAACTTCCGATTTTATAATAGATGTCAGCAGCTTAATCACAATATGACAATCAGTGCAGTTCCTATGGCTTTGGACAATTTTCAGAGAAGTAAAAGCAATCACCAGTTTCTCGGTAACATAACCGAGTTCCACTATCTCACCCATCATTGGATCTAGTTTCTCATAAATTTCAAGACTTTGCGGATGAGGTTTAATTGTGCAGCCACTTCTCGATCTCAATCCAAACGCAAGCTGGAAGAAGTCCGATGACCCTTCTTCAGTTCTTCTAGATTCTGAAACCTTGGAAACCTCATCCACCATCTCAGATCTATTGCATATTTGAAGAAGCACTCTGTAAGGACTTAATCTTTCATAAGTACTGTGTAAGTGAGCACTCTGTAAGCTCTTAATCTTTCAGAGGTACTGTGCAAGTGCTTAATTCTTCATGTCCCAAACCAAAAGCTGTTCTGCTGCAAATTTCCCCAGCTCCAAGATCCTGTGATCTCTATAAGCCATCGGTCGGCAAAACCATCCATATGTTCCTAGTGTGGCTAAAAGCAGCATTCTTTATCAAAGCATAATCTTCATCCAACAGTCCTCAACCAAACAACTTGATCATACATGGACGATGTGTTGCTCGTGACTATTCTTTGGATCTTGAATCATGACCTCAAAGTCTCCCTCCCCTTGTGTAATAAGCCAAAGTACACACATAAGATGGCAAGAATCATTACACTGTCCGGGACAATCCCTTCAACATCCTCTCAAAAGTCTTGACAGACTCAATTACCATCCCATGGTTGGCATAGCTGCCTATCAGAGAATTCCAAGATTAAAGATTCTTGTGAGGCATCTTAAAAATGATTCCTAGCATCTTCCATCGTGCCACACTTAACAGTATAAGTCAAACAGAGCAATGTTTGCCACCATATCAAACACAAAGCCATTGCGGATAGTACTTACATGACCTTGCTTCACATGTCCAATAAGCGGAATCTAGCACAATTCTTAAAATAAGTCCATCCGAATGTTAACACCACACATCTCGTAGTACATGTCCAGAGCTTTCTCGTTGTGACCGTGAAGAGCATACGCCAATATAACGGTGTTTTCATCCTCCAACCATCTTCTCATGTATCTCATCAAAGACCTACTTTGCTCCTTTGACGCATTTACATGTCAATAAGAAAACAAGAGACAGATATTCTCATAAATCCTAACTTAAGAACATATGAATTCAACTGCTTACCAGCGAAAATGTAGCCCAAACCAGTAGTTACGAACCATGGTTGCCAACATTCATGGACTGGCATTTGATACCTCCCCTCCAAATCAAAAGAACAGATCAAATCGCTATTCATTGCTTCCACAAGCCTGGCTATATTAGTAATCCACAACATGATGTCCCTTTCAGGCATATCGTCAAACAGGCACCTTGCATCAACTATCATGCTGCAGTTCAAGTGCTCTTGAGAGCCCAACTCCTCATATAATAATCTAACTCAACTCAATCATATTCACTGAAACACCATCTCCCCCCAAGTCAAACCAAAGCACACACTGGCAGGAGACTTAGAGGTGCTAGTGCTAGTGGCGATGAGGCCACCCATCGACTGTAAGAATTTGAACAATTCAATAACCACTTCCAAAGCAACCTTCTTGATACATTAAAAGTGGCCCATCCATCTCTTTGGCCGACGTACTCAGAATCAAAATAGAAAACAAAAAACCAAAGAAACCATGGTGATCGTCATGCAAACAGTCCAACCGGATTAAAACATCATTCATCCAGTCTGAACCACAACTATACTAAATTCTAGCTCAAGATATCTTATCCACTCGTCTGCATTCATTCACTGGATCATTTTCATCAACAGAACACAAATGGAGCTACATAATCAGAAAGTCGGAATCCTTTCATTGAACTTCATCATCTCCCGCCAAGCATTTGCCCTCTCGAGACCTCTCTGGGATCCATCTTCGGATGATTCGCTCGTCGACACTAAATTCCTCCGAGCTGCACACTGAACTCCTATCCCTACTGCAGCTGCTCACATAGAGAATTAGCAGCGTCTTTGCAACAGAGCCACTCAAACGTAGAGAGCAGCAAAGGTCAGGCCATGCACTCAAACGAGTACTGCTAGCCTTGCCATCATTCTCTGGTATAACAAGCACTGCGTACTCTGCGTGAACGAGTGCAGGGTGATGCCTGTAAGCCACGAAGTCTGCGCCATAATGAGTGCCCGAGCGCACCACCCAATTCTTCGATCTCAGATGTGAGTACGCCTTGTAGAGCTCGGGGAACGCTTTCCTTTGAGAGCAGAAGTGGTTCCACAGCTCTGCATCTGCCATGGCAGTTCCGTCCTCCCTCGTAATCCTGATGCACGTCAGACCATGATACAAGTAGAAGGACTCCTCCGGACCCAACTGGAAGCACTGCTTGTCCCGTCCGAAGGTGGTGATGTTTTTGCCGATCGAGGCTCGCTCGAGAAGGTCAGCGGCCTCCGGTTCGGCTTCGAGAAGAGCAATGCAACCAGAAAGCAACGCATTTGGCATCGATGGACTTAAAGAGGTTCGCAATCGAGAGACAATTTCCGACATGGGATTCGCAAGAGCTGTCTCCGCAAACCCCTTTCCCTTCCATCTTGGTCCGGTCAATTCCATGCCAGAGGAAGACCAAGGAACACGGAAACAGAAAGCAGAAGACTTGGAGAAAGTCGGGATCAAAGAGACAAGGGGTAGTCTTCAACCGATCCGCGGCTCCGATCTGAAGAACAAGGTGACGAGACGAGATGAAACCTACGAAGGTTTGAGAGAGAGGGAGAAGGCGGCGTTTGGAGGTCAATCAAAAGCGGTAGGGTTAAGAGATGAAACCAACGAAGGGTTTGAGAGAGAGAAGGGGCCGTTAGGGTGGTTTGCGTTTCCCCAAAGAACCCTAACGGCCCGAGCCATCCCTCCGATCGGCAATGGACGGTGATTAGGTGGCCTCGCCACTGCCGACGGCTGTGATGTCGTCTTATGCGGCACATTGGTCGTGTCGCTCGCAGCGTGCGCATTGCCAATGTCTATTAATTTGGACGGACGATTGAGGCGCATATTTGCGGCATGGGAATTTGAGATGAACAATCTCAGTATGATTTATGTATGGACTTTGATATAAGAGAATAATAAAACACAGTCGTTAAAGCTTATTACCAACTATAAATATATTGACTTAACCATCACATAGGCCTTTTCGCATCACACCCAAACACGACCACATGGAGACTCACGCCACCATCCGGCAACACAGACACGACTCGACTCGACTCGACTCGACTAAAGACGACAACCATGGTAGCAGGGAAGGTGGTGAGTTCACTGGCCGCCGCGGAGGCGGAGCACCAGGTGGAGGGTGGATTCCTTCTGTATGTTGTAGTCCGCCAGGGTGCGCCCGTCCTCGAGCTGCTTCCCGGCGAAGATGAGCCTCTGCTGA